TCAAAGACATGTTTTTCAATCACCTCTGTCATTGTTCTTAGTAGGACACAGAGAAGCACCATCAATCAATGGCCTTGGAGCTCCATGTAGCTGAAGAGAGTATATTTCAGTTTCTTTGGTCTTCTGCATTACAGAAAGTAAAACTTCTCCTTCACTTTCTCTTGTTAGTTATGGAGAGAAGTGATTTGGATCATGGTCTCTGCCTCATGGTTGTGGTACACTTGCATTGGGAACTTCTTGGGCAAGCAAGGTGCAGGTCAAGATTGCCCAGTTGCTATGGACAGCCTGCCTGAAAAGGCTCTGTGCAAAAACACAGAGCTATATCAGTCTTGACTTTGAGCTCAGGCACCAATTCTGAGGAAAAGAGAATTCTGAGCTTGACAAGATAACCATAATGTCTGACCAGTGCTCTGACCTCCAACCCTGCCCTCTTCCTAGGAACTCTGGACAATGGGATTCCTGAACACAACAGGATGCTCCTGACATTGCAACAGTAGAATAGCTACAAAAATATTTCTAGTCCTGTAACTTTTTAGTGCACAAAGAACATTAACTTCCTGATTATGAAACCCTATATAATAAATGTGCTGTGCTGGCTGTGGGTCACTGCTTCTCCATCACAGATCAATGTATTACCTGATCCCAGCTTTCTCTCTAAATATTTATGTGTCTTTCTTAATTCCCCATTGCCCCTTGCCAGTTTCTAAGGTTTGGCTGTGCAGGTCACAGCAGTTAGTCTCATTGAGTCAGTAGGTAAATGTGACTTAAGCTGAAGAGTATTAACTATAGGATCCATACTACTTCCCTTTATCATTAATCCATTCTTATAAATGCAAATGACTGGTTGATTTTCTTGTTGGCAGAAACTAGTATAAGGAGTACAAATTTGTACTTTGCAAATACACTTATACCCTGCATTTGTTTCATTGCAATGGTGGACTGTATCTGAACATTAAGAATGTAATGAGGGAAGTTTGTCTCCTGCCCAATGTCCTGTGTGTGATCCTTTATGTCCCACCATAGGAAATTACAAAGACTTTGCCTAGCAAGCCTCATGGAGAAAGCTGTTTTCCTACACCACATACTGCACACAGCCAGTGCCTTAAAGTGTCTGCAGGGAGTTGCAGGCAAGGAATCAATCCCCAGCTCTCAGGCAGTCATGCTCTTGGCATATGTGGTCCAGGAACTGTCTTTTAGAGGCCTCTTTATTGAGATCCTCAGCTAAGACAAATTTCAATCATCTCTGCTGAGTCTGTCTATTTTATAAAACATCTTGACTATAAAAATTCTCCTGTCTTCTGACTCAATGCATTTCCATTCCTAATCCTTCCCTGTATACCCTCATTACTCCTCCTAATCCACAAAAGGGCAGGAGCCCTCTGTAGTGAGGCTTTCCTTCACATGCACCACATGTCTCAGGTGACATGTCGTATAATTTAACCTTGCTAAAGTATTGTTCCAGGTGGGAAAAGGAACGGCACTGTGTTAGTCAACATTTCATCCTTGTAGTCAAAATACCTAATAAGAACAATTTAGAGGAGGAATAGTTTATTTCAGGATCATGATTTCAGGAATTCAGTCTATGGCCAGCCAACTCTATTGCTTCAGGTCCAAGGTTAGGCCGAGCATCACGGTGGGAATCTGTGACAGAAGAAAGCTTCTTAGTTCATGGTAGCTGGGAGAGAGAGAGAGAGAGAGAGAGAGAGAGAGAGACAGACTCCAGTGACAAGATATATTCCTCAAGGTTACATACTTAGTAACCTACCTCCCTCAGCCATGACCATCTGCCCACAGTTGCCACCTAGCAGAACATTCAAATTATTAATCTGTCAAATGGATTAATTTATTGATGAAGTCTGAGCCCTAATAATTGCTGAAGAGCCCCACTTCTGAACCTTCTTGTATTGGAGACCATGCTCCCAACACCTGATCTTTTGGTGACATTCCAGATTCAAACCATAACGTGTGGAGAACCAGTATTACTTTTCCTCTGACCTCTTTCTTATACTCCTGCAATAAGTGAATAAAGGCTTGACTGGGTTGTCATTTTGTCTTGTCTAGTTGAACAACTCAACACCTGTCTGCTCTCAGTGGGTGGTCTAAATAGAGCCAAGAATCAGTGGATGCAAAGATGAAAACAATACAGAGTTCTGTGTTCCAGTTTCTGAGCCTTCTTTACTTAAGCAAAAACGATTTCTTTGTATTGTGCATGGATTTGCATTTTGTTTGAGGGGAAAAGCTGAAGAGAATAAAGACTATGTACATTTGGTTAATCATGTACATTTTTAAAAGTAGAACGCTTTAAGATTATAGGTCATTGGTAGAACACAGAAATCAAGTGTAAAAATTTCCTTCCTGGGTCACTAGTTCTATCTTCCCTTCTATTTTTACAAGAATTGACTTGAGTAAGGGAATATTTCAAAGACACACGTCCTTTATCAATATAGGTTCAGAAATGTTCCTGGTTCTACCCCTGTAGACACTCACACGTTTCTGAAAGAGAAAACTATGATGTTAAATGTTCAATTCTGCCTCTGAGATCATTTGAAAAGAAATCATGTGTGTTTTTTAAAGAGCTGTATATACAGAAGTTTCAGAGACTGCAGATCAAACAAAGCTGACCCTTCCACATGTACCTGGGAGAGTTGTTATAACTGTGTAATCACAGTTGTGACTGTCAGTGGATTTTGAGCCACTAACATTGGCACTATTTGAAATCCCAGGAACCTCAAGAAAGCTACAATCTACAAATCCTGACATAGGACACAGTTCCTCATTCCTTCCTCCAATTATTAAGACAGAAGGAACAGAAAAGTCACCCTTCTGGATATCCAGCCATCAGTCAGAGTAACCATGCCTTCTGAATTTCCCATTCCCTTTACCTCTCATTTTGAAGTAAATAAGGGAAATGAGCATGGTGATGAAGACCATCAGCACCCAGAGGAAAACAATCATATCTTCCGCCCAGATGGCATCCAATGCAAATAGTGGATCTGAATCAGGAACTGGGAGACATGAAAGAATTAGGGAGCTGCCACTCAGAAAGGAGGGCTGTATTAAAGATTGATGATAGATTTGTTTTTCAGATTACTATTATTTCTTACTTTCTGAATTTGTAAGAATGGGAGAGAAGGAGGCTACATGGACAATCCTGGACATGAGCAAGTTTGGGCTAAAGCTGGAGGAGGGCTATGAGGTGGTGATATCTATTCTTCTATTCAATACCTTGGTGCTTGCTCTGGCTGGCCAGAGTCTGGATATGTTATGCCTTTGTTGGCTTTATCTAGTGCTGAAGGTTCTGGAAAATTATAATTCCTAATAGTCATACTGTCATATGGAGCAGAAATTTCCCTTAAAGTGTTTTTTTTCTTGGTAATTCTATAGTGAAAAAAAAAGTCCACAGCTCATGATATTGGTTACTGTGTCTTGTGATGGTAGCACCATTGCTAAAACTATGCCAATTAGAAATTGTATTACTGTGTAACAATGCCAATTAGAAATTACTTTCTGCCAGGCACAGTGGCACATGCCTATAATCCCAGCAGCTCAGGAAGCTGAGGTAGGAGGGTTGCAAGTTCAAAGCCAGCCTCAGCAATGGCGAGACACTAAGCAACTCAGTGAGACCCTGTCTCTAAATAAAATATAAAATAGGGCTGGGGATGTGGCTCAGTGGTTGAATGCCCTTGAGTTCAATCCCTGGTACTCCCCCCAAAAACAAAAAAATAAAGAAATTACTTTCCTATATAAACTATAATTAGCTAGTATCCCATTTATTAGTATAAAAGTTCCTAACAAAAATAGAATAATAATGTGATCCAAAAGTTTCATGTCTGTGTATACACCCAAAGGAATTGAAAGCAGGAACTAGAAGAGATGTTGGTATACCCACATTCACAGTAACATTTGGTATAAGAGCTAAAACAGAAAGCAACCCAAGCATCTTTCAGAGGATGCATGGATAAACATCTTATATCAATACAAAGGAATATTGCTTAACCTTAAAAATGAAAAATATTTTGCAATATATTACAACATGAGTAATTCTTGGGGACATTATGCTAAGTGAAATATGCCCATCAAAAAATGACAAATACTATATGATTCCACATATGTGAGGTACTTAAAATAGACAAAAACATAAAGAGAGAAAATAGAGTGGTGGTTGCCAGGGGCTGGAGGTGAAGATGGTGAGTTATGGTTTGATGAATACAGAATTTGAATTTGAGAAGATAAGTTTTTTGGAGATGGATTGTGATGATGGTTGCACAACAATATGAATGTACTTAATATCACTAAATGGTGGAGTTAAAAATGATTAAAATGGTAAATATTAAGTTGTGTACACTTTACAATAATAAAAAATTATTGTTTCTGTTTTTCAAGGAACAATGTTATGAAAATGAAAAGGCGAGCCAGTCTGGGAGAAAATATTTGTAAAACATATATTGACTAATTATATGAGTTTAGAACATTTTATCTTTCATTTTTTACAAGGCATATATGGCTATCTATACCTCATTATATCATTTGCATTTCTTTTCACAGAAAAAATAGTGTTGGGTAACAGCTATGAGTCTACCTTCCCTGTGGTTGGCAGTTGTGTGTTCTTGGACCATCCTGCACATCTCCAGTAGAAGCCAGAGTGGGCAAAATTAATTTCTGTCCTTCAAATACAAGGAAATATAAGGGGGCTATTCTGTGATCACTGCTGCTTCTCGTCACCAGATGCCTGGGTGGCCATCATTGTTACAATTTCCCCTCTTATTGCATGTATCTCTCTCTCCGATCGAGGTAACATCCAGAGTACCTACCCCCAAAACTGCTTTGTTTTTCTCTTTTCTTTCATTATCTACAGCTTTAATGCAACTAACTCATACAAAATTCAGTAGCATTTGTTGCAGGAATAGAAAAGCCCATCCTAAAACTCATAGAGAATCTCAAGGAGCCCCAAATATCCCACCCCCCTCGCCATTTTTTTTTTAAAGAAGAAAAAAGCTGGAGGACTCTCGGCCTGCTTTCAAAACCTACTACAAAGCTTACAGCACTTAAAACAGTGTGGACCTGGCATACAGACATGCATGTGGACCAATGGAATAGAATGCAGCCTACGTCCTTACATATTAAAAAAGTGATCTTGGACAAGGTGTCAATACATTCACTGGGGAAAGGACTCTCTTCCATAAATGGTGCTGAGAAATACTGACTATTCACATGTAAAAGATTGAGGTTGGGTCTTTATCTAATGCTGTATCCAAAGATTAATCCTAAATGGGTATATCATTATGTATAAAAAGCATAAATGTAAAATCTGATATTGTGTAACTCTTAGAGAAAAACAGGCCAAGGGCTTCTTGACATTGAACTTAGCAATAGGTTCTTGGATATGGTATCAAAGAAATCATACACAAACTGAACTGAGTGCATAAAACTTTTTAAAAATTGCACATTAAAATGCATCATCATAGGCTGGAGTTGTAGCTCAGTGGTAGAGTACATGCCTAGTATGTGTGAGGCACCGGGTTCAATCCTCAGCACCACATATATAAATTAAATAAAGGTATTGTGACCATGTACAACTAAAAAAAAAATTAAATGCACCATTAATAGAATAAAAACATCAGCCTAAAGAATCATAGAAAATATTTGTAAATCTTTTATTTGATGAAGATCAACATCCACAGTATATAGAGAACTCCTGAAACTCAAAATAAAAAACAAATAATATTCAAAACTGGGAAATTGACTTGAACAACTATATCTTCATCTCACAAAAATAGAAGGGAGACCAACAGAATAGAGGGAGTGGATCAAGAGGGAGGCAGGAGGGTTGGGCATGGGGAATTACTAGGGAGTAAAATCCACTTAGTTATGCTATGTCTATGTATGAATACCATAATGAATCATATGTGTGTATACACACAAATATACATGCACTAATATATATGTATTCCAATAATTAAAATGACAATAATAGTAGTAGAGAAACTAGTAAAGTACAGAAAGAAGATGAGGGGTTGGGGGGGTAGGAAAAGTACTGGGGAATGAGATTGATCAAATTATGTCATATGTATGTATGATTACAGCATGATGAATCCCATCATTATGTATAACTATGATGCACCAATAAAAATTCTCCAAAAAAGACATATTAATGGTCAATAAGAACACAAGAAGATGCTTAACATCATAAACAATTAGGAAAATATAATTTGAAACTATAATGAGATACCATGTTACTCTTCTAGTTGGTTACCATATATGGAAAAAAAAAAGGACAGTGTTGGTGTTCACAGGAAGTAATAGGAATTCTTGTGCACTATTTGTAAGGATAAAAAAATGGTGAAGACACTGTGGAAAACAATATGACAGTGCCTTCAAAAATTAAAAAGAAAATTGGACCAAGTTCCATTTTGTATTTATATCTAAAATAATTAAATTCAGAGTCTAGAAGAGGTAGACCTGTGTTCATAGCAGTGTTATGCAAAATACTGTGCTAGTGCACAATATGCACTTAGACTCTAGCCATTTCAATAATTATAGTGTACATTTCTTCAATGAAAAACTGAAAATATTATAAAAGAAAGGGATGCTTAGTAGTAGCTGTCTTCTGTAAAATGAAATAATGTATTCTAGATTCAGTTATTTGTCAGTATGTGTATTTTACAAATCTTTTATTCCACTCTATAATGCCTTTTCTTTGTTGTAACAGTGTCCCTTGAAAAGTAGAAAATTTTATTTTTTAATCATAGTAAAATATGCATAACATGAACTTTACCATCTTTAACAATTTTTAACTCTACAGTTCAGTTATATCTCATGCTTTCATACTATTTTTAATATATTTTCCACTTTTCACTTTCATTTTATTTTTTGTTCTTTTTAGTTATACATGACAGTAGAGTATAATTAGACATATTTATACAAACATGGAGTACATCTTATTCTAACTAGGATCCCTGTCTTGTGGTTGTACGTGATGTAGACTCACTGTGGTGTGTTCATATATGTACATAGGAAAGTTAAGTTCATATTGTTTTGCAGCTATCACCTCTATTCATCTCCAGAAATTTTTTTATCTTCCAAATTGAAATTCTGTATTCATCTAACAATTCCCTATCTTCTATATTCAGCCCCTGCCAGCCACCACTCTATTTTTTTTGTCTGTATGATTTTGATTACTCCTAGTGCCTTATACAAGTGAAACCATATAACATTTTTTGTGAGTAGTTTATTGCATTTAGAATAATATCCTCAAAGTTCATTCATGCTTTAAGCTGAACATATTGTAAGATGACGCAGAATTTCTAATTTCACCTCATTTGGTTTAAGACCATTTGTGTCTTCATTTTATCAGAAAAAGTTAATGAAAAAAAATCATCTGAAGAGTCCAGTCCTACTTTATGGTTTCTGCATTGTGGTTTTATCTATGACTCTGACATATTATTAAAAAATTACTTTGTCTTTTTTTTAGAGAGAGAGAGAGAGAATTTTATTTATTTTTTAGTTTTTTCTGCGGACACAACATCTTTGTTTTTATGTGGTGCTGAGGATGGAACCCAGGCCACACGCATGCCAGGCGAGCGCGCTACTGCTTGAGCCACATCCCCAGCCCAAATTACTTTATCTTAATGATCATTACCTTGTACATACAATTTTCTTAGGGACCTCAAAGATACTGTGGATGGCACATTTTAAATGCTGAGTTCAACTATCCCAAACTTTTGTAATTACTAATTTAATTTCACCTTCAAGGAGAGGCAAAAAAGAAGGATCAATTTCAGGTGTCCACGCACACCATGACACTAAGCAAAATTCTTATGTACTGATGGATAATTTTGAAAGAGGGTCCCTTTCTTTGCATCAGTCTCTGAAAGATATCTATGACCTACAAACATTTAGATATAATGAATTATTATCTCTAGGTTAAAGTATGGGAATAATTAGAGTAACTTATGAAGCAAAGTGCTGATGGCTAGATTTAGGAGCAAAAATAAGACTATTAAATTGAAGAAATATTTTCTCTAGAAGCAGAAACAGCAGTAATTTTTACTGTATCATTAATCCCATAAAATTCAGGAGGCTGGAATTCAAACCCTATGACATGTGGCCCAAGGGTCTATTGTTCCTATAGTTCACACAAGTATCCCTCCTCTTTGGCTAAGTATCTTAACAGCTATTGGGCATTTGGGGAAAAAAATTTTCATCCTCTTGATCCTACATACCTCTTTGACGCTGATACAAACAGACACTGAGTACGACATCCACAACCACTGAAGAAATGATTATTACTGAACCCACTAACAGAGGAGAATTCCAGCTGCAGCATCTACCTGAAGAAAAAGAGATGTTAATAATCACTGGTTACTGGTGGGAGACACTTTGGATTTGGGGGAAAGGAAAAAAGAAAACAACAACTATATTTTGATGCCATCTCCAGTATTGATTAAGAACAGGACTAAGGATTAGGACTGAAACATCAGAGAGCTGTTGATGATAGGTAAAAGGGATGGGAGAGGTGTTGGGCTGAGGCTAAACAGGTCTGGAGGAAAGAAACAAATCTTACTCTACCTAGCCCATCAATCAATGGGCCTCATTAGAGAGCAGGATATGGGGTTTTAAGGTCTTTAAATACAAGAATATCACAAGTGAATGACCTTCAGATAACACATTATTTAAAATCTTCTTTATCTCAAATCATGGTAGTATCATTTGGCTGTCTCTTCTCTTCATGGAGTTATTTCATGCTGTGAAGGCTTACTACTATGGGTTTGCCCATTCTTCTGCTACAGGGTTAAATGAGCAGTTTAACTTAGTGATTAAAATATAGGATATGAGTGTAAATATGGTTTATATTCAAACTTATTTCCTACCATTATCACCTTTGTGATTTTAGGTGCAATACAACTTTGAAATACCTAATTTTCATCATATGGAAAAATGGGGATAGTAATAACATCTAGTTCAAAGTGCATTGTAGAGGTCAAATTCCTTAATATTTGTGAAGTTACTGGAATAGGCCTTGTTAATAGTAAAAACTCAGTAAAGTGTTAGACTCTCATGGTGATAATTCCTACCATAGAATGACTCTGCCACCTTGAAAATGATTCATTTCAAATGATTCAAGAATACCTTCTAGATAAAGATTAATAAATGTTAGGAGTTAAAATTATGCCAGAAGGGAATAGTTGAATAACTGGAGGCAATTTGCTTTGTAAAGATCAATTCACTATAATCTCTAAAGAGCTATCTAGAACAATACATGTTTCCTTAGAAGTCTCAATAAAGCACAAGATACTAGAAGGAAGTATGCAATAAAAAAGGAATTACATTAAAAGGTGTAATGAAGCAGAGGAATAATTTAAAAAATCCTTGAAACTTGGATGCTGTCAATAAGCAGATAAGCTACTAAACAAAAATTTACTTTAGTGAAACAGCAACTAGCAGGAGCTAAAGTTGTGGATTTGTGGCTCTCTGGTGCGTGGGTTCTTCCCAAGCCCCATGGACACAGTAATGGAAAATGGCAGCCATTTAAATCAAATAACAGAGTTCAGGCCAGAAGAGCAGGTAGAAATGAAAAAGGAGAGATCCATCAAGTTGGGAGAAATGCAGAAGAACTGAGACCCATATCCTCAGCTGACTACTTGGTTTGGGAGGAGATCCTAGGGGATCTTATCTGATTGTTAAAGACAGGGTACCAGAGTGGGTATGTGAGCTTGAGGCTTTTTAAATTGAGCCTGGAATTATTATTCTCAAATACATCCAAAGACATAGTTTATGTAAAAATTTCTCTTCTAGTCATATGAACGAGCATATCATCTACTTTGGCTTACTGGCTTGTGCATATTGGGCATGACCTTGTCATTTTGTCTGGAAATCTGATGTCTTTTCTTCCCAGAGGAAAGACTCCTCTCCTAGCCTACCTAGAAATGATATCCTTTCCTGCAATGCTGTATGAGGAAATGAATCCAGGAGTCTGCTCTTGAGCCAATCAAGAATTCTGCTATGCCATTTTGAATGTTTTGGTATGTTGTAAACCTTTGGTGCTTTCCAAAACTGAATGGCTATTTATTGTGTATACTAAATTTTATTGTGAATCCTTCAATTTCACTTCCCCCCATAGAATAATTTAGAATGAATGAAAACTTTTTCTCCAGGGAAAAGTAAATCACCCCATGATGCAACTAGTGTATCTATCCCTGAGTGCTCTGTTTTCCTGATGCAGTGGTGAGTGACCTCTCTGAAGCCTTTTCATGGCAATATGCAGTTTGATACTTTATTTTCTGTCCCTGAGAAGGTCATTTCCAAGGGATAAATATGTATTAATGGTGTTAGATGTTGTTAAAATCTTTCCAAGCTTGTTTGCCTATCTATTACCATAAAAAAAGAGGTTTTAGCTTTTTTAAGGTACAAGAAGCTCAGGCTTCCAGATAAATAACACTGTAAGCAGCTCAGCAATAAGAAAAATATATCTAGGACCAAGGAATTGGTGTACGATATATATCTAACACCCAAGAGTTTAGAATGTCTCAGGTAGACAGACTTGGGAAGAAAGAGCAGCTTTAGCTCTTTGCCCTCTTCCACTTTGCATCTCTCATTCTTCAAACCTACTTACCTTGTTCCTGTTGGCAATAGAATACAACACTGGGAAATGCAATAGAGGATATCAGCACTGTCGCAAGTGTAATTATAATTATTATCCAAATTTTCTTCTGTGAAAATAGTTCATCTGAAATGGAGAGTTACAAATCTTACCTCTTGGGAAACTTGGGGTGAAGGACCCACCCAATTCAAAATGATGATTCATCCAAAGCATAATCCAATTCAAGATCCCTTCTCCCTGGAATATTAAACCTAAGCCAGTTTGGAGAGACATTTATGATTGGGTAGGTGAAAAGTAGGATTGGGTCTAGAATGAGGCTGAGTCAGGCTGACATATGTGAGTGAAACCCACTCTCTGTATTTCTTCCCATGCATTCTGTTTCATGAGCTCCTTGGGTAAAAGAAAGAGGTAGTTCTAAGTTCTTCCCCCTTAAACTCCCACCCAAGACTCAGATGCAGTTTTTCCAGAACTATAACAAGGTCACTCCCAACTCAAGCCTTCAGTCCTCTTGTCTAAACTATCAGAATATGTGCAGTTCTGAATTTGCCAATGTACTTTTTGGGTCTGGCATTATTCTTCTCAAATACATCCAGAGAAAGAGTCAATGTAAAATTTTCTCTTCTAGTTGTATGAACAAGCATCTACTTTGGCCTACTGGCTTGTACATATTGAGCGACCAAGATACCCTTGGTGTTGTAACTAATCCTGTATCCAGATATCCACCCTGTCCTCCTACCGCAACCCAATGAGGTCAAAACAGACCTTTATCTGCTCACAAGTCAGGCAGGGACAGAGTTCCAAGTAAGATTAAACTTACGATATTTTCTTTATCATAAGTTTTGACTCTTTCCATATGTTCTGATATTCATGAATGGAACATCAGATCTCCCTGAGATGTCTATATTTCATGGAACTGAAAACTATTTCCCAAAGTTTGTGTTAATTATAATTCTTTTTAAAAATATAAGTTTGTAGAAAAGTACATGTCTACTTTAAGCAAGTGCTAACTCAAAAAATATGTCTCATTATTTTTGGAAGTTGCAATTAAATTAAATATTTTCCCTTCTATATCTGCCATGAACTATAGGGACAGAGAGTAGATAGATCAATCTTTCTTTTTTTTATATAACAGTTTGTCCTTCTTTTTCTAACACAATATAATATGAAGCTTAGTTTTTGAATACCAAATGAGAAAATAAATGTAAAAGTGTTTGAATAAAGTAAATTGATAAAACTGTTAGGAGAATTAATATTATAATATACATGAGTTACAATATGCTTCTCAGCTTCTGGTTCCAACACTAATTTTATGAACTCATACAAACACTAATACATACATATATAACTAGTAGTTTACAAGATAATTTTTTGGTTTTATTTCAATCATTTAAGTCTAAATACCATATGCCATGCAATATTTGAAGCAGTTGGGGGAGTGTCTCAGTTAATAAAACCAACAAAAATTCCTACCTTTATGTTTTGAAGAGGAAAAGAGATAAGAGAAAATAAAATAATTACGCTATGCCGTGGGTTAAAAAGTAATGATACTAAAAATAAAAAATTAAAGAAGTATGAGGAGATAGGAGACCCCAGGTGATAGGAAGCAGGTTACATTTTTTTCAGGTTGGTTTGTGGAACAAGTTCTTATTAAGAAGATTAGAGTTTAGCATAGACTTTAAGGAGACAAGGAAGGTTAGTGAGATTTATGGCATTGTAGGAAGGGGAAACAACTAGAGCAAAGACCCCACAGTAGGAGCTCATCTGCACAAATGGGGGCAGCAAGGAGTCTGTGTGACTCTAGAGTGGACAAAGGAGGACACCAGGAGCCGAGGTCAGCTAGGTAATGGAAACACAGACAATGCAGGACGTTGTGGGGCATTTTACTCTGAAAAAATGGGGAACAATTGCAGGATATTGAAAGAGGGTAGTGTTTTATGTCTCATGTTTGAGATGGGTCCTTATGTCTGCATGTTGAGCTAAGCCATATGAGTAAGAACAGACGTGGGACTCTTTCAGGGGCTATGGCACTGCATCACTCAGTGGGGGCTGGGGTCTGACTTGGAGGGCAGTAGTGAGGTGGTGAGAAGTGATGAGACATCAGGTATTTATTTTAGAGCTAGACATGGTGTTATTTCTTGACAGATACTACATAGAATATGAGAAAAGAATTTGAGTCAAGGATAAGTTTAAGGATTTTGTTCTGACAAATTGAAAATATGAAGTGTGATTGGGAAGGTAGTAAACTAAACCAAAAGTATAGTTTTATACACTTGGCATGAGGTACCCACTGGACTATGTTGAGATGCTGAGATGAAGATGAGAACAGAGTGGGAAGAGGTCTGACCTGAAGATAAAATTTGAGAAGCCATCATTAGATCAATGGTATTTAGAGCCGGGAGGCAAGATGAACTCATTAGAGAGTAAAGGCTGAAAACCTATGCCCTGGGAAATCCAATATCAAGAACACAGTGAAAAATAGTGACTGTAGGAAAGAGAAGAAGAAAGACAACAAGCAAAATGATGAATAAATCCAAGAGAAACTAATGCCTTGGAAACCAAGTGAAGAAAGCAAGTGAATGTTTCTGTTTTGTTTATTCGTCATGTGACATTGGCTATCATTTGAAGAACAAATACACAGATCTCACCTGCTAAGACAATGCTTGTTCTTTCCTCTTGGCCAGTTAGAGGGTTTCTAAGGTAGCAAGCAACATTTCCAGAGTGGGCATCCCTGAGAAGAAGGGTCATCTTCATGTTGAACAATTTGTCTCCATCCTGTGAGTGAGACTTTGATGTAGGTAGGAGTATGTCTCCTCTGCTGTCTCTCCAGTCCATTTGAGGCTGTGGGAACCAACCTCCTGAATGACATTCCATAATAAGACCTTTGGTATTAGGAGGATGCACAAAAATCTGTATGTCTGAGCTTGTAGCTGGTTGGATATGAAGGGGGAAAACAATATTTATAGGTAAAGGAGAAGAGGAACATAGCAGCGAAACAAAAATCCAAAGGAAAACCAAATAAGCCAGGCAAAAGAGTTACACCATACAAAGAACATTTTGCTCTAAATAAGTTAGGGGAGAAAATGCCTCTTTGTCTTATTTATTCATTCATTCATTCAATCAAAAATGTTGATTAGTTATTTACTAAATCTTAGAGGCTTACATGGGTCCTTGGATTGCTAAAATGATTACATTATGATTATATAACTATTATAAGATTACAGACCTCATAGGTATATGGCTTAATATCTTTTATTCTATCTTCATCATGAGTCACTTTTGAGCCACCATAATCAATTATAAATAATTGATTATAGTATGAATCCAAGTTTGCAACTTAAACTGAAACTTTATGTGTTCATTATATATAACAGGTATTTATATACAATATGTCTTGCATAAACAGGTAATATACTGATGACATCAAAATACATATTCATTTAGAGAAAAAAAAACTTTTGAAGAATTTCAAGGTATTGCCTGAGACACAAGACTTGACTAACGTGTGGACAGAGGAAGAATTAGTAGAGATTTAAAGTTTAACCCAAAAGCAGATCTGTCCAATAAGACTTTCTGTAATAAGAGAAATAGTCTATACCTCTGCTGATAGAGTAGCTATGTGCTACATGAGAATATTACCTGGAATGGAGTCAGTGAGATTTTAGAACTGGACATGTAATTTTCATTTCTTTAATTTTGATAAATTTAAATATAAATTTAGACGATCACCTCATATTGGATAGCTCAAATCTAGACTGCAGAGTCAGGTGGTATATAATGCCCAATAAGTATGTTAAACATGAGTGGGAGGGAGTCCTACATTTGGGTGCTCACATATATAAAATTCTTCAGTTTACTCCATATCCCTTGCATTTCTCTGTCATTTGGAATAATTTAAAGGATGAGGAGCTTGACTTAAATACTATGAATTTGCATCCCATATAGATATAGCATATATATCTGAAGACATTGAAGATTGTAGATAAATAGATTTTTTTTCAAATAGGTTTAAGAAAATTAACTCAGCACTAAATAGTCAGAGAATTGAGTCTGGGAGAAGTGACAATAAAATTACCATTAGGGAGACTTTGTAAAGATTCAGGTAGCTTGTAAAATTACATTTTACTAAAGTGCTACCAGAAATAACTGAAAACATAAACAAATCTTAAAAATGGATTTATTGGTCTTTTAGAAGTCTACAATGTATGTGGACATAAAAAGAGGGTATTTGGTGATAGAGTTGTTGTCTTCACAGTTTTCACCCTTGATCATCTACTCTTTCCAGTTCAAAAACTAAATGCATGAATTTGAACTTGCTAACCAAATTATGTCAAAAGGAAATAGTCTGAAACACTTGAGAGTTTTTCTAATGCTGAGCCACAGATGGGTTGAGAATCACAGATGCAGAGAAACTTCAGAGCGATCCATCTCACCTGTGACCTTCACTTCTATGATGTCCTCTTCAGAGAAATCACCATCTCTGAAGAAGCAGTGGTACTGCCCGTCGTCATCAACACTGACATTAAAGATCCTGAGGGTCACTTTACCTTCTCCAATGGCATCTTTCAGGAGTTCTGTCCGCTCCACATACCTGGAGGTAGTTTCTCCATACAGATCTTTACCTGCCTTGTACAGGTAAATAGGTTGTGTGTAGCGGTTACGGAACCAGCGGATCTCCATGTGTTGTGCACTCTGCGGTGGAGACAACTGGCAGCTGAG